TACAAGCACAATTGAACCCTTACGGAGGAGCAGAAATGGGGCACTAAAGCCATCCTAGATGCCTTAGAAATGTTTAGACCTTCTAAAAATCAAGTCAATCAAGCAGACTCACTTAATGTCACAAATCAGGGGCTACGTCAGCTCAGGCAGCACACAGACACTGATGCAGCCTTACAGGCACTGAAGACGGTCGTTCTGAGTGGGTGGCCGGGTGGGAAGGAGGCAGGTCCTGCAATCGGGAGGGAATATTGGTCCTTCAGAGAGTCATAGTGAGAAAGTCACTGAGAGCAGAGATGTTATTGTGCACACACTCAAGCCACACTGGGGGTGAGCCGTGCTAGAGAAAAGCCCGTGAGACTCTTTACTGACCTGACATGCAAGGCGAAATCAAAGACTTTGGGAGCAATTGTCCCACTTGCAATGAATGTGCACGTTTGCAAGAGAAAGAAAGAATGATGCCACATGAGACACCGTCACGTCCTTGGCAGTTCATCAGTAGAGATTTGTTCAACCATGCAGGGTAGGAAGTTAGCACCCACCCCTCTCCTAGGAAAATGAAATATTTTAGGAAGTATTAAAAAGGCAGAATATGGATGAGAAAAGGAGAAACATGTTTTAAAGACAAAGCAGCTCCCTGCCCCCCCCCACCTTTGTCAATGGGCCATTAAGGCCTGAGCCAGTCTATTCTACATAACAAAGATCTACCTCCCTCAGGCAGAGCCATAATAGGAATCCCAAAGCCCTTTCATTACATCATCACCCAACAAGGCTCAACCAAGCCTGGGACTTAGGTCAGCCTGCAGAGTTGCCCCTGCATGGCCCATGGGAATCTGACAACCAATCAGAATACAAGCTCAAATTCAAAAGCCCAGAGAGGGCATAGAACCAGGACATTCTCAGCATCTCTTCCCTCCCCCCACCCCCTAGGACCTCAAACCATGTGGTCCTGTCCATCATCAATAAACCTTCTTTCCAAGCAACTTCCATGAATCCAATGTCTTTTTCCTCACTTGGAACTGAACCCAGATGGACATTTCTTCCAACAACATAAAGGCATTCTTAAACCGTTCAACCTTGTCAGACTTGTTCCAGATAATTTCGCACAGAGAGGCTGCTTCCCCAACATTAGTTTTGTAGGTTGAATTTTTTTTTGGGGGGGGGGAGGAAATGAAGTACTGAAACCTGTGAATTCCCCACTCTGCCCATGTTCTACAGAGAATCAGCTCAGATATACATTTGACATTTGAGTAAGAGAAGCAAAGTTAACAACGATTACACTCGCGGAATTTCTGCTTGTCACATAGTATTTCAAAACAGAGGACCTGCATTTCAACCATTACAAAATATTTGCTATTGTCAGTGTTACTGCTTTCTATCTGCTTCCACATCAGAATGGAACTTCTATCCAGAAAAGTGCTAACTAGATGAAGTTCCAACCTGTTTTTGCAGCTTCCAAATATGGAAAGCAAGCAGTTTTTCATGGACTTTTAAAACTATACTAAATTTACCAAATATCCTCTTCTGTCAAAAAAACCACCCAAAAAAACCAAAAACAGCCTTGCCCTTACTGCTCACATTACAGTATCACTGCCAAAGCTTTCAGACAATTTTTTAGGACTGGAGTTTCTAGATAAGACATATCTCTCTGTCTTGAACAATCACACCATTCTGTCATAATGAGCTGCCATAACAGTCTATGTGTAAAAACGAACATAGTTTTGCAAGTTTACATGGTATTTCATGTAATATTTGGTGAATCAGTCTCTAGAACAGCTTATCATAGAAATATTTTCCTGACGATAAGGTGAAATCTTAGTCATGGCTCTGCACGCTAAGTTCTGATTCAAATCTGCACTTATGACTGTAGGAAGTTACCACCTACCCCTCTTCTAGGAAAATGAGATATTTTAGGAAATATTAAAAGGGCAGAATATTTTCCCTAAAAGGAAGGCAGAAACTCAGTCCCTACCCCACCTTTGTCAATGGCCCATTGAGGCCTCAGCTAGTCTATTCTACATAACAAAGATCTACCTCCTTCAGGCAGAGCCATAGTAGGAATTGGCCAAAGGCCTTTCATTACATCATCACCCAGCAAGAGTCAACCAAGCCTGGGACTCGAAAGACAACCTGCCCCTGCATGGCCCCATGGGAGTCTGACAACCAATCAGAATACAAGCTGAAACTCAAAGCCCAACAGAGGGCATAAAACCCAAGCACTCTCGGTATCTCTGCCCTTTTCTTGCCCAGATCTCAAGCCATGTGATCCTGTCCATTATCAATAAACCTTCTTTCCAAGCAACTTCTATGTATCCAGCGCCTTTTTCCACACTTGGAACTGAACCCAGATGGACATTTCTTCCAACATTACTTTGGCAAGTAGCAAATATATTTAGTTTGAATAGGAAAAAAAAAATCATCCCTCTCCTCTCCTATTCCATCCCAGCAGGAACCATAACTGCTCATACACCTTTCTTCAGTTCCAAACCTACAGCAGCAGCTTTATTTCCACCTCATGTGTAAGCGCATGGTCAGAAGACGGATTTGGGGAAAGTTCAGTAAGCCATGCTTAGCTTAAATTAAGCATGTTGTATGAACATGTTTCTGAATGAAGAGGTTCATTGGCTGGATGTTGCTCAGTTAGCACTCCTCTGAGGGAGATGGGTAGTTAAGAAATACAAAATATAAGTCAATTTTAAAAATCCCTAGAATAAAATAATTCATTTCCAGTATGTATGTATGTATGTGTGTGTGTGTGTATGTGTGTTTGTGTGTGTNGGGGGCGATATGCTGACTCTGTAAACCGCTTAGAGAGGGCTGAAAGCCCTATGAAGCCGTATATAAGTCTAACTGCTATTGCTATTGCTAAAAATGAGATATTTTATCAAATAATAAAAGGACAGAATATTTCCCCTAAAAGGGATGCAAAAACTCAGCCCCGCACTTTCCTACCCCGTCAATGGGCTATTAAGACCTGAGCCAGTCTATTCTACATAACAAAGATCTACCCTCTTCAACCCAGGATGATGGGATTAAGACATGGCCCTCAGGACATGATAGGATTAGTCCTCTACCCATCTAGCAACAGAATTCACCACATGGCACCTGGCTGGATTATATCACCCAGCAACAGTTCAACTAAGCTTGGGACTCAAAAGACAGACAGCCTACAAAGTTATCTAAGACCCCCACCCCCTGGGAGTCTGACTACTAATCAGAGTGCATTTCCTGCGCAGGAACTGGAAGCTCTAGGGTGGGGCCCAGAGAGGGCATAAAACCAGGGCACTCTCCGCATCTCTTCCCTTTTTCTTCAAGATCTTCAAGGCATGTGATCCCCTTTTTCACAGCATCTCAAACCATGTGGTCCTGTGCACCATTAAACCATTTTTCCAAACAGTCTCCAGGTTTCTAGTGCCTTTTTCCTCACTTGGAACTGAACCCAGATGGACATTTCTTCCAACATATGCAACTAACCTGAATATCAGGCAGAGCAAAGAAGTAGTTTAAAAATCTGGCACACTGTTAACATTGGGAGATTGTTGATTGGATTGGTTTAAACTCTTCTCTGAGTTATACAACTTTCAACTGTCAGTGACATTGGGACAAAAGATAATTCCTAGGATGTTTTCTTTCTTGTATGCAACCTATTGTGGCCACTAGAGAGCAGCATATAATCTGTTCAAATTCATCTTTTTTGGACTCAGTTTAGGGAGTTGAATTCCACACACCTCTTCAGGTTGCCAAGGTTAAGAAACATTGCTATGGGTTGGGGTTTTTTAGGGGAGGGGGAATCTTCGAGGCAGTGTTGAGTCCTGGCAACTGCCTGGACAAGCCCCTGAAGTTTTCTTGGCAAGATTTTAGAAGCGATTTGCCTGTTTCATAGGACTGAGAATGACTCATAGAAAGCATCAAAACAAAGACAAGCCAATATACAGAAGTAAATAAAAAAGATGCTGCCATTAGTACATTGCAAAACAAAACCCCTTTAAGAAATAAATCTTTAAAAAAACCTCTAGATCGAAGAAAGGACTTGCATAAATGCTTGCCCTAATATTGTAGTCATCAGAGGAATTCCATCAAATCCCCATTTTCTGAAGTTCCTTGCATTCCCTTCTTAAAAAAAGTTCATTTAATTTATACAACTGTTTTTTCAGTACCACATTGTAGGAAGTTAGCACCCACCCCTCTCCTAGAAAAATGAGATATTTTAGGACATATTAAAAGGGCAGAATATTTTCCCTAAAAGGCAGGCAGAACCTCAGCCCCCCCCCCACCTTTGTCAATGGGTCATTAAGGCCTGAGCCAGTCTATTCTACATAACAAAGATCTACCTCCCTCAGGCAGAGCCATAATAGGAATTGGCCAAAGCCCTTTCATTACAT